TGCCCAAGCGCCGCGCTCCCGACACCCAGGCGCCCAGGAATCGCGCCTGTTGTGGCCCCATGTGCATGCCCTTCGTGGCCCCGCTGTCGCCATGTGTGTCCCCCTCACTGTCCTACGTGGCCCAGTTGCTACCCTCAGTGGCCCCATAGTTGCCTTCTGTGGCCCCGCATTATCTGCACTTCGTGGCCCCCGCTCGTTCGCGCTCTTCGTGGCCCCATACGCATTCCCTTCGTGTCCCCGCTGTCGCCCTTCGTGGCCTACTTCGTGCCCTTCGTGGCCCTGCTGTCGTTCTCTCTCGCTCTCGCTTTCGCTCGTCGTCGCCGTCGTCGTCGTCGTCGCCGTCGTCGTCGACGTCGTCGTCGTCGTCGTCGTGGTCGGTCCCCTGTCCGTCCCTCTTGGGGTCGGGTCGACGGTCCGCGGCCGCCCCGCCGATCAGCGCTGCCGCTGGCCAGGCCGACGGTCCGCGGCCGCCCCGCCGCTTGCTGGGGCCCGGCCTGCAAGGAAAAAAGGTATACCCCCCAAAAGGGTTCGATCGAAAACGAAGAGGGCGGGTATCGAGGGTTTGGGAAATACGCGTTATTGGACACTCGAGCATATAAGGGCGAGCGATCTTAAAATTATTGTTGTTGTTATAAGAAATGAGGGTCAGGGGCGCAATTTGGCGGCCACAAACTTTCCCTCGTAAACAACCGGGTGCGAGCCCCGGGAGGAGCAGAGTAGTTGAAAAATGCAATGGTCACCAGGGGAGGTCAACAATGCTTCTGCTTTAGAGCTGTGAATTCATCACCACCACCAACAACACCACGAACAACAACAACGACAATCGTTTTACGACTGTTCGCTCCTATCTGCTCGCGTGCCACTTAACACTTATATCCCGCATCCTCAATATATGCCATCTTCGTCTTCGATCGCATCTCCTTGCGGATATAACTTCCTTACCTGCCACGCACATTCAGCGCAGTGCCTACAGCAGGGAACGAGAGGATGGATGGAAGGAAGGAAAAGACACGGGGAACGGAGGAGGATGGAACACGAGAGGGAACTAGCAAGAGAGGGGGCTAGGAACAGAAAACACGTGGCATAACCAGATGGGAAGATCGGGGTGGGTAGACCATAACGGGCGGGTCGGGAGGGCGGGCCCAGGCGGCCAGGTCGAACAGGCGGGTTGCTGAAACGTGAACACTGAATGAATCGCGGGGCAGTAACGAGCGATAGCGCGATTCCCAAGTACATCGCGAGAAATCCACAACGAGTTCGTGAGTCCAGAGTGTCGAGGGCGCGGCGTCTGAGCACCACGCGAGAGCGCGACTCCTGCATAACATGTGAGGAATCCCGTCCGAGAGCGCGATTGTGGAATACACTATGAGGAAGTATCAAGCGGGAGCCGTTGTTGTTGTAGGCCTAGTCTGGTGACGCGTCGTTTTCCTATGTAAAAGCAGGATGCGAATCCCGGGAGGAACACTTTAATTGAAAAACATAAAATGTGCACCAAAGGGGGGAACAACATTAAGTATCATTCCACTTAGACATGGGAACGCAACGGCAACGATAATTTTATGACTTTTCGCTCTTATTCGTTTGCGTGCCATTCAACGCGTATGCCCCATATCCTCGGAACCCGCCCCCTTCGTCTTCGCTCGTGCCCCTAGGGAATATATCCTCCTTACCTGCCACGTGGAGTTAACGCAGCCCGTAGAACAGGGAAAGAGAAGACGGATGGAAAGGGGGAAGGAAAAGGATGGAACACGAGACAACGTAGACACAGACAAATCGGGCGGGCAGACTTTAGCGGGCGGGTGGGGAAGGCGGGCCCAGGCGGGTTGCTGAAGCGTGGGTCCTGCATGAGTCGCGAGGAAGTCTCGAACGATACCGCGGTGCCCAAATACATCGTGAGAGAGGGCAAAGCGAGAGCGTGATTCCTGAGTATCGACGGCGCGGTGTCTGCATACATTGTGTGGAGGTCCCACGCGAAAACGTGACTCCTGCATGCATTGTGAGGAAGTCCCGCGCGGGAGCGCGATCTTGGAGTGCATTGTGAGCAAGTATGAGGCGGAAACCGCTTATAAATTCTCATTTCTAAAGAGGCATTATTGTTGGTTCTGCCCTCTGGGGCACATTGTTTTTTAATTGAAATGTCCTTCCCTGGGCTCGCACCCTGCTTCTTATCAGGGTTGTGTCTTCGGCCCCTGGTTTACAACAACATCGCTTCCCGCTTGATGTGTCCTCGTAAGTTGTTCCCACATCGCGTTCTCGCGCGGGACTTCCTTACAATTTATACAGAAACCGCGCTCTCGCGTGGGTCGTCCGCACAATTTATTCAGACGTCGCGCCCTCGATACTCAAGTATTACACTCTCGCTGGGGATTTTTTTTTTTTTTTTTTGGGGAATCGCGCTATCGCTCGAGACGTTCTCGAGTTTCATGCATGACGCACGCTTCAGCAACCTGTCTGTTCGACCTAGCCGCCTGGGCCCGCCATCCCGACCCGGCCGTTAGGGTCTACCCGCCCGATCTTCCCGTCTGGTTATGCCGTGGTTTCTGCTCCCAGCTCCCTCCTGCTTCGCTCTCTCATGCTCCATCTTCCTCCTCCTCCTTTTCCCTTCCTTCCATCCGTCCTCTCTTCCCCTGCCTTAGCGACTGCACGGAATACACATACACGTTGCGGGTGAGAAATATATGTTTTTTTTGTTGTTGTTGTTCCCCCCCCCCAGGGCTCGCACCCAGTTTCTTCATAGAGGGAAACTGGGTGTCACCAAAGTGCGCCCCTGGCCCCCAGATTACAACATCGGCTCCCGCCTGATACTTCCTCACAATGCATTCCAAAATCGTGCTCTCGCGCGGGAGCTCCTCATACTGTATACAAGAGTCGCGCTTTCGCGTGGGACTTCCTTGCGACTTGTTCACACGTTGCGCCCTCGATACTCAGGACTCACGCTCTCGCTTGGGATGCTTTGTTATTATGTATTCGCGAATCGCGCTATCAGTCGAGACTTCCTCGGGATTCATGCATGACGCACGCTTCAGCAACCCGCCTGCTCGACCTGGCCGCTTCGGCCCGCCTTCCCGACCCGCCCGTAAAAGGCTTACCCGCCCGATCAGCCCGTCCTGTTCTGCCACGTGTTTTCTGCGGTTAGCTCTCCTCCTGATATTCCATCTCGTGCTCCGTCCTCCTCCCTCCCTTCCCCCTTGTCCCTTCCTTCCATCCTTCCTCTCTTCCCTTGCCCTGGGGGCTGCGCGAAATATGCTTTGCATGTAAGAAAAATAGACCCTGGAGGGGGCACGATCGAAGACGAAAAGGCTGGGTATCGAGGGTTCGGGATTTACGTGTTGAGTGGTACGCGAGCAGATCAAAGCGAACTGTCTTGAAATGACTGTTGTTGTAGTCCCTGGCCCAACAATTCATATAAGTATCGGTGCTTGGGTCGTGCGTGGCGTGTGGCCACGCGGTGGGGAAATGGAGGACGAGGACTGTAGGTTACCTATTGGTTCGAGAGGATTGGGAGTGTAGTGGCTGAGGGCCGGTGCAGTCGGGTATTCCACTGTGCCGTGGTAAGTTGTTATGTACATAGCACCTGATGTAAGAGCCAGTCACATGAAGATGTAGCCAGCTCCGCTACCAAGTGAAAAATAAGGGTACAGGGCTTGACCATGAGGTAATAAGCTTAGAACCCTACTCTTAGGATAACGTCGGCGACGCATCGAGGTATCCCACAAGTCATCCCTTGATGGCAAACAAAAAGAGAGGTAAGACAGAAACCATGGGATGGAGAGGTGGATCATAGATATACGTGGCCTTTGTCTAACGCTATGATCCCAATTGGGGCGCACAGAGCCGTGTACACCTAGCAATAGGAGAGCGCTGTCTTGAGCCAGGACCGCGTCGGATATAGCGTTTGCTATACAGCCTCCCCATAAACCTCGTTTAAAATACCCAAGGAAGATGTTTTGGCAACTTCCTGCAGCAGACCGGGGTACTTGGGGAAGGAATTTGGGCAGGTTCCCTGGGCACCCCAGGAAAAACGCCGGAGTGTCCCCAGGAAGGTGTTTGGGCAATTTCCCGGGCTAACCCAAGAAGTTGTTTGTGCTGGCCTCGGCGCAATGTTTGCGCTGTCCCCGGGGTGCCCAAGGAAGCGCGGGGCGCCCGGAAGAGATGCTTGCACTGGCCGGGGCGCCCTGGCGCGAGAGAAAGAAAACCCGAGAAAAGCTCGACACCATCACTATGTCACCCGTGCTTGCCATGATGTTCGCCCCACGCTGTATCCAATACGGCGGGAACAAATTGCACGTCTCCATATATTTGTTCTAGGCATTCCAGCCTCGGTGTGACTTGATGTGCGTTGGAACGCCGCACTTTTCTGCTCTAGCTAAGTTCGTTACTCTTGATGCCAAGTTGCCAACGGTCGAGACTAACTCGTCGATTGTTGCACTCACTTGAGAAGCTTCCTCACTCCGCACTGCGAGGGGATCTTTTGAGAATGCCTATGCGGCATGTGTGTTCGACTCCGCAACACAACATGCAATCACCTTCCAAACGCTATGTTGGTGGCGTTCCATGCCAATGCAGACGGGGTTGCACGACGAAGAGAAACAACTCAAATTCTCATTGACACAAGACTTGGAATCCAGAAACTCTACAAGTACGGTGTGCACAATATACAGAACCCTTGAAGCCCTTGAATCACTTTAGCCATGGGAGGAGAGGGAGCAGGAGCGGGTGGAGGTGAAGGAGGAGGAGGAGGAGTGGGAGGAGGAGGAGAAGGCGGAACATGGAGCATGAAACATGATTCGGCAATGGTCTGAAGGCCCAGGTCCAGAAAAGAGGGCGGTGAGACAAAGGATGCGCCAGCCGTCAGGAGCAACACTTCCCCAGAAGCACGCGCTGGCGGGCACACGTGCGGCATAGCACCAGCTCGATGGTAGCCGTTGCGGAGGAGGCGGAGAAGGAGGGGGAGGGGAAGGCAGGATGATGAGGGAAGGAAGGAGGACCAGGGGCCCTGCCTTCGTGAAGAAAGACCTCTTGCCAACCCTGGGCATGTAGATGCCGCGGTCGCAGCCGCGGGAGCCGTCGTAGAGGGCCTCGTTGGCCTCGACGGTGACCAAGTCCACGCGTGGAATCTTCAGAATTCGCCAGCCCAACGGGTCAGAGGCGTGCTAAGATCTCGGGTGCGACGTTTCGATGTTTCTAGTTCGCGCGCGCGCGGCGGCCCCTGGGGGGCCCGGGGAGAAAAATACCGGGCGGTCCCCGAGAGGTTCCCTCACGGATGCCGGAATTCTGGGGTCGGTCGTAAGGACCCCGAGTGCCCCAGGAGCGCCCCAAGGGTGCTCCAAGAACGCACTCCAATCGAGGTCAATGGGCAGCAGCTCCCAGTATGGCCCGAATGCAATTCCAAGAGGCTTCAAAATAGCTCCACAATGGCCCAATACGGCACCGTCAGGGTAGCTAGGAGCTAGAATTCATCGATTGTGCTAAGGTTTCAAGAAGATTTTGGCGTTGCACCTCTTTAATCTCCGACCGCCCATGACGGCCAACGAAATCCAAAAAATCGCCTAAAGTCAGCCCCAGAGGCTCCCACGACGGCCATAAGAGGGCCCCAAGACAGCACAAGAGGCCCACCCCAAAGGCTTCAGAGCCACCAAGAAGCCCTCCAAAAGGGAAGCCCGAACTGAGATTTCGAACCTTTTCCCGAACGATGACCCCCAAGACTGCCAGAAAGCTCCTAAGAGGTCCTCCAGAGACTCTCAAAGCCCCGAAAGAGGCTCCGAAGAAGCCCCAAGAGGCCCCTAAGATGCCCCCATGAAGCCCAACGAGGCCCCAATGAGGCTCCCAAAATGCCCGCGCGAGCGCAGGTCAGTGCCACCGAAGCTACAAAACAATCCTCCCGCAAAGCCTTCCAAAGGCCTTGATGTCGACCCCCACGCCGGACACAAAACTGACAGCAGAGCATTGCATCACGTAGAAGACACGAGCACCAACGTCGGTGACTCTGGCCCACGAACAGCTGAATGCATCAGCGTACGGACTTCAACACGACTGTTTGACCCGCTTCCGGGCTATGTGCGAAACTCACGGCGCGGTGGACACGAACAGCTGCGTGCATAAGCTTGCAGACCCCAGCACAACTCGTTGTTCCGCTCCTGGGCTAGGTGCGAAACTCGCGGCGCGGTGACTCTGGTCCACTAACAGCTGCGTGCATTAGCCTGCGGACCTCAGCACAATTCTTTGGCCCGCTCCCAGGCTATGTGCGAAACTCGTGGAGCGGTGAATCTGGCTCAAAAACAGCTGCGCGCAATAGTGTGCGGACCTCAGCACAATTCTTTGGCGGGATCCTTTGCTATGTGGTAAATTCGCGGCGCTCCGACACTGTTCCATCTCCTCTCCCATCCCTCTTCCTCTTGTCTGTTTCCGTGCCTTGCTCATTTGTACTCTCCCACCCCCTTTCTTTTCTTTGCCTTTCCTCTCCTATCCCTTTTTCTCCTGCCCCTTCTCACAACCCGGGGTGCAATGAGGCCTGTGACAAGTGAACACACTGTCTCTGGCGCTCTTGGACGACTCCTTCGCGCTGGTACCCCACCTGGACCGCCTAGCCCTCATGGGCCAGTCCTGCGCTGGCTCAAGCCTCCTGGGAGCCGTTCGCAACCCCGGAAGGAGGCGTTTTTTAGCGGCTTGTTGGGGAATTGTTGCGACCTCTTGCATTGCCTTGGCACGCCAACGGTGATGTGAAATGGGCAGCGGAGTGAGCGAAGCGGTCAAATAACAAGAATCAAGACCGCGAAGACAACAGTCCACAGACAATCCACAACACACATCACAACACAATTGAACCATATTCTTTTACATGGACAGAAGCAGGCGTCAATTGAGTTGCAAAGACTGAAGATTGCATCAAGTCAATACGCTGAAAGAAGGACCACCTCGGGTTCAGGAGGTGCGCTGCTTCTCATGCCCTCCCTTTTGGGCATTAAGAGGACTGGGTTTAGTGGGACCTGGTTTAATAACGTGTGCTGAGGGACGCCGCCCCCGCCCCATGTCACTGATCGGAACTGCCGTGACCCGAGCAACAGAATTTACGGCAGACCTGGATCAATGATTCTGGCATGCTTTTTGTCTTCGGGGCCCTATCACAAACGGGCTCCCCTTGCCCAGGGCCCTGGCTCCACCCGACCCTACAGCTGCGTCGGGGAGCCCATTCGTGGCCGAGGCTCGCCGTGGCCAGAAGAACCCCTTCGTTCCTTACTTGGCGTTCTTCCCGGTATCACGATGGCTGTAGATGTAAACTTTCGGAGGTCCGCGCAGATTTCTTGGATCGGCGCTGGGTCCCCCTGGCGGCGCCTCTAGCGCCGCCACTGGCGCGCTCCGCTCGCCAAGGAAGAGGGCTCCAGCGCCGATGCAAGAAATCAGTGCGGACTTCCGACAACCTCTGCTTATGCAGATTTGCTTTCTCCGTCGGACCTTCACAGGCAGTCGCCGAAAGGTGGGGACCTTGGGCGTCAGGTGGCCAGGGCCTCCTGGCTGGGGCGCCTGCTCAGGGTAGCGAAAACCTCAGACGGTGAGATTCGGCCTTCTCTCTCCCCTTCCTCCTGTTCTTCCTCAGGCGTACAGGGGTGATGTGCAATTCGCCATCCCCGTGGGTGTTTTGGACTACCCTAAGCCTGGTCCTTCAGGTGCTTCCGCACCAGCTGGGACACCCGCCAGGCTGGGATCACGTAGTTGATGTTCTCGCCCTTGCAGGAGGCCGTCGTTCACGACCACCGATTCGGTCCTCATTCCTTGTCCCATTCCCTTAAAGAGGGGGTGTGGGGTGGCAGGATCGAGTCCCAGACCTCTGACGTCCTGATTTCTTGCGACGAGGGCTCCTGGAGATCTCGACCCCCAGATGAAAACTGTCAGTCGTTTAGATGAGGACGCCGACTTAGGAAACCCTGAACCCAAACATGTTAGCGTCTCACTCTTGCTTCTGACGCCTTCCGCCGAGCTTCTGCTGGCGGACCTGCTGCCGCTTTACTTCCACTAGCTTTCGCCGAAGGCGAAGATGCGCTGAAGACGAGGTCCTTTCTGGAATGCCTCAAATTGTCTGTGGGGAGGGGGGGCGTTTGTGATCGTAACGCAGGCCCGACCTCGGTGGCCTTCGCGAAATTGACACCGACCACCTCCTGCGCGGCTCCGTCCAAGAGCGGGCCGCCACTGTTGCCAGGAGAGATGGGGGCGGTGGACTGGATGCAGATATTGCCGTCCACCTCCTCGTCACGGAATGCTCATCGGGTCGGAGGAAAAGGGGGGATAGCAAAGAAGGGGTAGCGGATCTACTCACGTAAGTGGTTTCTCTGCGCCAGATCTAGACTCACAACATAAATATGTGACAACGCCAAAAGAAGTGCCACCGTGCCCTCTGGCACCTGGGGCGTGGTACTTTCCAGTGCTGCCTGACTGGGCTTCTGCAAGTTTCCAAGGGCCGCCCCCGGCTTGCCCGCGCCTGAGAACGTGTGCGTGGAACGGACTGTTCGACGTCGGCAGCGCTAGGAGGGGCGATGTTGATAGCTGGGAGCACGAGGGCTTCTGGCACTGTCGGGCTTCGAAGTCTAGCCGAAAACGACGCGCTCCCCCTAAACGTTGGCGGTGGCGTCCTTAAAATGACCAAGATCGGCTGCCACTTCCACCCGCACCCGCATGCGGCGCTCCCGCTCCCCGCCGGGAATACGTGGGCGTTTCGGCCTCTCACTGGCAGTCTCCAAGCCGTCCGAAATGATCAAAATGGCTTCCAAAACTGTCCGCGAATTCATCCGGAGCCACCAGGACGACTCAAGGTGCCTTGAAATCCCCCAAGACGGCGCAAGGACCCCCCCACGAGACGGCTCCAAGACGGCCGCGCGCCACGATGGCTCCAAGACGGCCCACGATCCTGCCAATGCGGCCCCAAGACCCCAGCTAGTTAGCCACAAATTGTTCGCAGTCTGTCCCCAAATCCTTCCAGATCCCCCCAGATTCAACGGCCCAACGGCTCCTCCCAGCAGTTTCTCAAGCACCAGGGGACCCCTGCAACAAATCCCTGGAAAGAAACATCGAAAATCAGCACGGACATATGGGATCTGGGGATGCGAGGTGTCGCATGTAAAGCGGTCTCGAATCTGTCTCGAATCTGGAGCCCAACGGCGCGTGGCCTTATATTTCAACGTTCTGGCCAGATCCCGGAAGGCCGCTGCCCAGACTGCTGCGCTAGAGTGGTGGCGGAGCTGGCCGCATGCACCTGGACGAGGATAAGAGATGATTATATTGATGAAAATGATGCTGGTAAGTGATGGTGATGATGATCAGAATGACCTGGGGGACGCGGTGCAATTGTGCAACAAATAGAATGTGCTTGCACTGTACATCTCTCCCCCGATCCTCGTTCCCCGCGATGTTACCCTTCGAGATCTTGAGGGCGTCCTGGCCCAGAGGGAACCCGAGGGCCACCACATCTTCCCCCATGGCCGCGACGCGGTCGGAGAGCCGCAGGGACTGCAGGCTGATATTGCGGGACTCCATGGCCTCCCCCTCGCCCCGCCCTCAATCAGCGTGAGTCTTATCGTCCTCTTGCCCTAGCGCCTCTCGCCCCGTGCCTCCCTTCGATTGGTCACCCTCTCTCTCTCCGGGCCGACCTTGATGGGCTGACGTCGGACGCTCACTGGGCCCCGTGGCTCTCTTCTAAGGAGGCTTTACCCGCAGCCTCAACATGCCAACGCATCACCAACCTTCTTGCCCCATGGCACGTGGCTACCTGGCCAGTTGCGGAACATCTTGACCCGTGCTGGCGTCTCGCTTCTACCTCCGCCTCATCCGCCGACCTTCCGCCCACGGAGCCGCCGTCGCGCCCTCGCGCCGCCCCCCAGAGAAGAACGACGCCCTGGCGCAATCCGCGCGGCGACAGGCTCGGCTGTCTTCGCGCCCCCGGGCTGCTGGCAGGGCAGGGGTCCCGCAGATGGAGTTCATCGCCCCCTCGCGGGGGCGCTCTCAGCCTTGCCCACCTCTTCCACCCTGCAGGCAGTGGCGCACGGTCGCCAGTGCCTGCTCCTTCCTCCTGCTGCTCCTGCTCCTGAGGCGAGGGAGACATGAAGACAGCATCGGATGAGGATGAATTGGGAGTCTCTGACAGCCGGCGGGTCTGCAGGATGTCGCGGGAGCCGCAGCCGTTCCAGAGAGCTTCCGAAAGCTCCGACAGCGATCTGGAACGCCATGGAGCGACTGATCCTCATTCTGGGCCTCCCTGACCTCCTCCTTTGTTCCTCCACTGAGCGGACACTTCTCCCAGGCGCACCACCGGACGTGTCTGTGGGGCGGGCTGGGCGTTCCGCTTGAAACTGTCTGTCAACTCATGGTCCTGAGGCACGAGGCCTCCAGCAATTAGACGGGCGGAGGATGGATCGTTTTCAGCGTCGCGTTTTCGTCTGCAACGCCCTCGCAGCTGATGGGATGGCAGATGAGGCTTTCCAGCACTTGCACGACCAGTAAAGGAGGTTGTCTTGTCAAATGCGCTCCAGCATGGAACTTCCTCACAATGAATGCCCCCACGCCACACTCACCATCCAGCCGTTGCACATGTGGGGATTGAGCAGTTTTCACAACCACTGTCTAATTTGGGACATGATCACGTTGTCAGGTACTTGAGAAATTACGCTACCGAACAACCCCACATACTTAGTTTAACGTGTTTGTCATCGCTTCGCATGTCGGTTGTATCTTGATCTGGGTACGTTCAATGTGAACGCCCCCTGCGCACCGCCTCTGGCGTCGAGAAAGTGCCACGCCTGCTAAACTTTGTGACAATGTCGCGGACAGGCACCGCGCTCAAGGACCACCCCCTGCGCACCCCCTTCTGGCGTCGACAAAGCGCCACGTCTGCCAGGTTTGCGACAGCATCGTGGATAGACACCGCGCTCAGGGACCACCCCCTGCGCACCCCCTCTGGCGATGAGAAAATACTACCCCTGCTGAACTTTGCAGCAGTGTCGTGGATAGACGCCGCGCTGAGGGACCGCCCTCTGCACCATTTCCGGCGCCAAGAAGATGCCACGCTTGCTAGGTTGTGCGACCGTCTCGTGGATAGACAACGCGCTCAGGGACCAACCCCGCGCACCCCCTCTGATGTCGAGGACATGTCACGCCTCCCACGCTTTCCGACCCTGGCACGCATAGACACCGCGCTGAGGGACCACCCCCTGCGCACCCCCTCTGGTGTCGATGACGTGCCACGCCTGCCACGCTTTCTGACCCTGGCACGCATAGAGACCGCGCTGAAGGACCACTCCCTGCGCACCCCCCCCATGGTGCCGAGGAAGTTCCACGCCTGCCACGCTCGCCGACCTTGGCACGCATAGACACCGCGCTGAAGGACCCCCCCTGCGCACCCCCTCTGGTGTCGAGGAAATGCCACGCCTGCCACGCTTTCCGACCCTGGCACGCATAGGCACCGCGCTGTGGGACTACACCCTGCACCCCCCTCTGGTGTCGAGGAAATGCCACGCCTGCCACGCTGTCCGACCCTGGCTCGCATAGACACCGCGCTGAGGGACCACCCCCTGCGCACCACCTCAGCTGCCGACGAAATGCCACGCCTGCTGTCCGACCCTGGCACGCATAGACACCGCGCTGAGGGACCACCCCCTCTGGTGTCGAAGCAATGCCACGCCTGCCACGCTCTCCGACCCTGGCACGCATAGAGACCGCGCTGAAGGACCACTCCCTGCGCACTCCCTCTGGTGCCAAAGAAGTGACACACCTGCTACGCTGTCCGACCCTGGCATGCATAGGCACCGCGCTGAGGGACCACTCCATGCGCACCCCCTCTGGTGCCGAGGAAATGCCACGCCTGCCACGCATTCCAACCCTGGCACGCATAGGCACCGCGCTGAGGGATCGTCCCCAACGCCCCCCCTCTGGTGTCGAGGACATTCCACGCCTCCCCTGGCACGCATAGACACCGCGCTGAGGAACCACCCCCTGCGCACCACGTCAGCTGCCGACGAAATGCCACGCCTACCACGCTGTCCGACCCTGGCACGCATAGAGATCCCGCTGAGAGACCACTCCCATGCGCACCGCCGAGGAAATGCCACGCCTGCTACGCGTTCTGACCCTGGCACGCATGGACACCGCGCTGTGGGACCCCCCCTGCGCATCCCCCTCTGGTGTCGAAGGAATGCCACGCATGCCACCCGTTCCGACCTTGGCACGCATACACACCGCCCTGATGGACCACCCCCTGCGCCCCCCTTCCCCGTCTGGGGTCGAGGACATGCCACGCCTGCCACGCTTTCCAACCCTGGCACGCATAGGCACCGCGCTGGGGGACCACCCGCTGCGCACTCCCTCAGGTGTCGAAGCAATGCCACGCCTGCCACGCTTTCCAACCCTGGCACGCATAGACACCGCACTGAGGGACCACCCCCTGCGCAGCCCATCTGGTGTCGAGGACATGCCACGCCTGCCACGCTTTCCGACCCCGGCATGCAGAGACACCGCGCTGAGGGGCCACCCCTTGCGCATCACCTCTGGGGTCGACGAAATGCCACGCCTGCCACGCTTTCCGACCCTGGCACGCATAGACACCGCGCTGAGGGATCACCCCCTGCGCACTCCCTCTGGTGTCGAACGCCTGCCACGCTTTCCGACCCTGGCATGCATAGGCACCGCGCTGAGGGACCCCCCTGCGCACTCCTTCTGGTGCTGAGGACATGCCACGCCTGCCACGCACTCCAACCTTGGCACGCATAGACACCGCGCTGAGGGACCGCCCCCAACGCACCCCCTCTGGTGTCGAGGAAATGCCACGCCTGCCACGCTTTCCGACCCTGGCACGCATACACACCGCGCTGGGGGACCACCCCCTGCGCACCACCTCAACTGCCGACGAAATGCCACGCCTGCCAAGCTTTCCGACCCTGGCACGCATACACACCGCGCTGAGGGACCACTCCCTGCGCACTCCTTCTGGTGTCGAGGAAGTGCCACGCCTGCCAAGCTTTCCGACCCTGGCACGCATACACACCGCGCTGAGGGACCACCCCCCGCGCACCCCCTCTGGTGTCGAAGACATGCCACGCCTCCCACGCTTTCCGACCCTGGCACGCATAGACACCGCGCTGAGGGACCCCCCCCTGCGCACCCCCTCTGTTGTCGAGAAAATGACACGCCTGCCGAGTCTTCCGACCCGGGCCCGCATAGGCACCGCGCTGAGGGACCACCCCCCGCGTACCCCATCCAGTGTCAAGGAAATGCCACGCCTGCCAAGCTTTCCGACCCTGGCACGCATAGGCACCGCGCTGAAAGACCACCCCCTGCGCACCCCCCATGGTGTCGAGAAAATGCCACGCTTGCCACGCTTTCCGACCCTGGCACGCATACGCACCGCGCTGAAGGACCACCCCCTGCGCGCCTTCCCTGGTGTCGAGGAAGTGCCACGCCTGCCACGCTTCCCCGCCCTGGCACGCATAGTCACCGCGCTGAGGGAACACCCCCTGCGCACCACCTCAGCTGCCGACGAAATGCCACGCCTGCCACGCTTTCCGACACTGGCACGCATAGGCACCGCGCTGAGGGACCACCCCCTGCGCACCCCCTCTTGTGTCGAGGACATGCCACGCCTGCCACGACTTTCCGACCCTGGCACGCATAAGCACCGCGCTGAAGGAACACCCCCTGCGCACCCCCTTTGGTGTCGAGGACATGCCACGCCTGCCACGCTTTCCGGCCCTGGCACACATAGGCACCGCGCTGAGGGACCACCCCCTGCGCACCACCTCAGCTGCCGACGAAATGCCACGCCTGCCACGACTTTCCGACCCTGGCACGCATAGGCATCGCGCTGAGGGAACACCCCCTGCGCACCCCCTCTGGTGTCGAGGACATGCCACGCCTGCCACGCCTTCCGACCCTGGTACGCATAGGCACCGCGCTGAAGGAACACCCCCTGCGCACCCCCTCTGGTGTCGAGGACATGCCACGCCTGCCAAGCTTTCTGGCCCTGGCACGCATAGACACCGCGCTGAGGGACCACCCCCTGCGCACCCCCTCTGGTGTCGAGGACATGCCACGCCTGCCACGCTTTCCGACCCTGGCACGCATAGGCACCGCGCTGGGGGACCACCCCCTGCGCACCCCCTCTGGTGTCGAGGACATGCCACGCCTGCACGGCCGTGGACGAGAGGCGCGCGTAGCGGGCGCGCTCAGGTGTTTAATCTGGGTACCATGGAGTGCGCTGCATGCGTCCGGTCCCCATGATGTAATGAAGATGTCAAACTTAATACTACCGTCAGCGTGTATATGTCTGATACGAACGTGTGTGTACGAACGAGGAGGAGATGAAGGAGGCATGAGGAGGGTGGGCAACGCGTGTGCGACGCGAGTGGGAAGAAAACCCGAACCCCACGAAGCATGTAGGGAAAAACTGCGAATCAGAACATTGATGAATGGTCCTTCGCCGTGGCGCTGCTAAAGATTCTATATGGTTCTGATCAATCCGAATTCCCCACGGCCACGTCCTGTGGCAGGGC